TTTTAGATCCAGGTGCTAAAATATTGCTTCAGCAGCCTTGACCTGCCAGGATCAAGGAAATGGTGCAGTATACATTAGGAGAATCGACAAGGGACTGTATAATTTTGTATTGCAGAGGTTCAACGATTTGTGTGTTGATTTTGTGACTACTGACAATTTATCATTTATACAGTTGTGGGAAAAAAATTCAGATATTTATGTCTTATAAGCTTTACAATTGGAATTTGATCTGTAAGTACTACTAGAGTAAATTATCAAAATGTCAAGGTAGGGAAAACCGAAATTCTTTCTCTTTAATAGTTAGTGCCAGTGAGGCAATAATCCTCTGATTTGTGACAATGGCGATCGCAACATAGAATATGAAATATGTGCGACATGGAAGAGTCGTAGAATGTCTCTGAACATGGCCATAACTCGTATAATAGTAAAAAACGATGAAGCAACGTCTGTATTGAACCAGTAAAAAAACTTTTGAAAAAGAGCAGTTAGACTATCAAAAACTGGTCTAAACACCACCAAGTTTTATATGTGGCCTGACAAAAATTCATTTCACATGATGCTAAAATGATATAGAAGCTGTTATAGGAGTCCATTTTTAATCATGATTAGCAGTAATCTGACGCTAGACAAGAATGAGTATCGGGTATCGGATGCCATCTGTCTCCATTCCCGATGAGAACTGATGCCCCGTTTCGTAGAAGCACTGGGTTTGCATTTCTGAAAAAGCTTTTCGGGCTCTTTATGTTACTAAAAATTGAATAAGATTTCTCTTCTTCATTCGTTCACGGTACAGAATTTACAGGAATTAAAAAAGATATTCAAGATGTCATTATGACCATCCTTATATCAATCTCTGGATTCACATGGCGCAGTCAGACTGTCCACCAGCTTATAGTAGCGTATGATTCATGGCATTTTACCAACTGCAGTGCACGGGCGCAAAACGGCACAACTTTTGCCGACGGCATCGAATACTAGCAGTTTGGTGGTAAACTCACCATTCTGACATGATCATCTTCCTCATCGTTACGGCATAATAAACGTTAGCATTTTCATTACGTTATCATCGCCAGTGCAGTCATGTTCGTCAGCATGATATAACAATGCCAGTTTAAAACGAGTCTTAGGTAACACCATTACCATATTTCATAATAAGTTATGTATCTGTAGCTCATATATTAACAAAATTCGTTGAGTTAAAGGAACAAAAACGAATGGCAATTCAGAAGCCGCGTAGCATATCACAATTTAAAGTAGGAGGAAGAACATCCAAAATGAGGGAAATCCCTCAGCCATTTAACGCTTCCATTATGAGTGTCATCTCTGATAGCATCATTCTTTCGCGAAATACATGGTGTAGTACTGACAATAGGTTAAATTAGTTTATTCAAGCGTTCCTTACATGTATCTAAATCCAATATCTATGATTAAGTGAATATTAACGTTCCGAAAGAGCGAAAATGACCGTTTCTGAGGACAAAAGTAATGTTCGGATTGAATGTTTCAGATGCATGCCAAGCGATAAATTACAGTAAATAATAGTATAACATACTACTGTATTAAAGCAATTACTACGATACACTAGAATTACTACTATACACCATACCATATACCTGATCACTGCTACTAAACTACTATATATTTATTACTAAACGACTACATACTATCACTATATTAAAGTGTAGGAAATTTTTCTCATCACTATTTTGGCTATATGAAATGGCCTTCTTCTAAACAAGAAAATAAACATCTTATAATAACAAAGCAAAGCGAACAATTTCGGAAGAAGATACAGAGCTTTTCAAACGATGTAAAAAAGGCTATTTTACACTGCTTGTTCTTATTCAGTAGGCGTTTTGGTTACTTTAACGTTATCATTTCCTTACGAAATTGATTTATTTCACTACATTACCTGTAACATCAGAATATCTTTGTCGAACATCTCTGAACGGCAGATTGATGCGAAATAGTTGTGAATCTAAACAGAAAGTAATGTAAGGAAATACACTGAAAATATGAGGTTCGGTTAAAAATGGAGGCAGCAGCGTCGAATTTATATCGAGGTCACAAAGTCGAAAGCTGGACTATTACCAAGGTCAGAATTACCGAAAGAGTGAAACTTAGCACACCAATGGGATCGTTGCAACAGCTGTTGCCAGAGGTTGGCATCAAACTAAAAAGGGTTTCTTACAGACAGAAGCATACTTCCAGCTTCTTAAAGGAAACTAAACTTGCCTACGCTCATGTGAATCGCTTTGCCGCCTCGAAGATACGATATGCTTAACCCATAAACGTTCTTGAGAAAACATTAACGATTAGACAAACAAACACGAAATCAGGTCAAACTGCAGAGGCCGAAGCTACGAGAGAAGAAGTGAGTCAAGTCTGCACTTAATCGACCATTTAATTAATTCAGTGGAAAGGCGTCAGTAATAATTCTTGTTGAGGTATGTCAACTGAAGGAAACAAACATGGAACTTAACGCCCCATCTCACCTGTTTAGGAAAGACAAAACTGTGTAAGAACAGCAAATAAACGAGTAAAAAAAACAGTTTATATATGGCCCGTTCTGCTTCAAGGATCGTACGCTTGACAGCCAAATACCTGACTGCCAACGCGTTTTTAATAAACAGTTGCTAACTTCGCTTCATCCTACTCTCATCTCACATAAGGCGCTTATTTACGACCTGAATATGGACATTTCAGATGTAAAATAAATTTGCATAACTTTCCTATTTTAAAATCTCTACGTCTTTGATTGACATACAAAAAGCTTATGACCGGACCCTACGCAACAGTCTGGGTCATGCCTGCGAGCATACGGGATAGATGGCCAGCTGCTAAGCGCCATCCAATCACTGTATTTTGATAGCAGGTACAGCGACATAAATGGCGTTAAGTCGAAACCATTCAACGTTGGCACTGGTCTCCGCAAAGGCTGCGTTCTGTCCTCTATTCTGTTTGTGTTGTACATGGATAGAATAGTCAAGAGCAGCCAAGGCGATGAGTGTATTTGTGTAGGAGATGTGAAGACGAGAAAACTGCTATGTTTGCAGACCACCTTGTTTTACTGGCATCTTCTGAAACCGATCTACAGTTCTCCCGAGAAAGGTTCGCGGCCGAGTGCGACGTGATCGGCATTCGTGTGAATGCATCTAAACTAAAGGCCTAGTGCCGGTTGCTCTTTTCAGATTAACGGAAAAGCGGGGCAGCAGGTGGAAAAGTTCAAGTACCACAGAGTAGTAGTTACTGATGGAAAATTATAGGGATAGATCGACCGGCGATTTGGAGTAGCCAGTGGCGTTCTGCGTGAACTAGCCTAACCCACTGTGACTAAAGCAGAGCTCGGTCTGAAAACTAAGCTCTCAGTGTTCAAGTCGATCTTTATCCCCATGCTTACGTAAGGTCATGAGTCGTGGACCATCACTGAAAAACTTCGAACCCTGGTAAGAGCTGTTGAAATGGGCTTTCTTAGACGAGTCGATGGCCTTACGCGTCTCGACATGATCCGGAATAGTGACATCCGGAAGAACCTTGGATTACAGCCTTTGCTTTTCCAGATTGAGAAGTCACAGCTGCGATGGCTTGGGCATGTGTTGCGAATGCCTCTAGGAAGGAAGGCTAAGCAACTGTTCCGGGGAATCCGACCGGCAGAAGGCCCAGGGGACGGCCAAGATTAACCTGGTGCAAACATATGGAAGAAGTCTGTTTCAGACTCCATTTTTCTTGCGACGAAGCTCAGACTCTGAAACAGGATCAGGAACGCTGAAAGCTGTCTGAAGCGTCTGCCTCCGCGACCCGAAAGGAGAAGCGGCGATGGAAAATGATGAAGATGAAGAAAATCTCCACGTCTCACCTGGTTCAAAAGTGAATAGCCGTTGCGCTTCCACATATTCGCCTGCACCTGTGCACACAACGCCATCGCGCGTACAGGCAGCTCCAACATATTAGACTTCGGCAGTTCGTCAGTGAATTCCGATGAGGCAGACGGATGATGAAAACAAAACTTCATGATGCTCAAGTATAGTCCTATGATAAAAATTTACTTAAACAACAACTATCATTTACACATTGCCATTAACAAAAAAATTAATCATATTATTGTCCAACGTGCAAACTACGTGTGTAAAGTTGTGTCGTTAAGATTAAGTGTTTCGTTGGTGGGGATATGAAAACAACATAAAACGCCGTTTATGGCCTTCGCTCTTCCTTAAAGTAAAAATGGAGATTGCCTCTGTGGCTCAAAGCTGTTGTAACTTTTAGAGACAGAAGGCCATACTTCCAACACAACTTTCTATCTTGGAGAATGCTTGTGAGATACAAGCAGAAACGTTTGCGCTGGCCAATCAACCTGTCGACGACATTGTTTATTGTGGGATAAATAAACCGTGTTTAATGCTGTTTTCAATCATGCTGTGTAATCACAAGAAAACGAACAGGATCTTGTGTGCTATTTACCCTGTTTTTCGAAAGACCAATTTCAACAAATAAAACACCTTGTTAAATATAATAAAGTTTCTTAATAAATGTGAAAGAATAAACTCTATGATTTAGTTTCAGGCTAAGTTTCACTCTATGGCTATTCTGCACATTCACCGAAATAGCAGAATTGCACTAGCTTGAGAAGAGAAAATAGTATCATCCTTCATTCTTGTGGTGATGAATCAGGAGGATTCCAATACCATCACGTGGCTAAAACCATTGTGTAGATTCTCTACGACCGTTCTGTCTCTGTTGCTGAACAGATGTTGCGAAATACCACCCAAATACTTCACGCAGATTTAACAGTTTAAATTTACTCTCAGAATGGCGCTACAAGAGAAATCTGCGTCAACTTGAGAAGAACTGAGCTGTACAGAAAATGAGCGGCACTACAAGAGTTCTTCGTATCATAAATTATCGTCCCTTGCTTTCTATATGCATGACGAAATAACTGTCTCGCTGTTGTTTTGCTATTGCCATAAAAAGCTAGAAGAACTTACACAGCAGAGTACCCAAATATATGATGTCTAACTTTATAAGTGGTATCTTAGATTGAGCAAAATTAGGCAACGTTTCATGCTGCAGCAAAGGTCATACTCCTCTTCGCCAGCATATCTGATCTAACAATGTACCACTGTATTTTGTACTGTCATCCAACGCGACGACGGCCAGCTCGAGTTTCCAAGTTTTTAAAGGATACTCTTTTCTGGGGCTGCTTTATCAAGTTAAACTAGGGTCGGTCTTTGACTATGAAGTCATTTGACAGTTTTCGCCGACAGGTTGTCGTCAGCACCTGTTTGTTCATGACGCTGTGGTATCATCGTAATTGAAGGATATGATGAATTGTTGGAAGCTGTCTACACGAGCTTCACGACGATTCAGCAGGGCAGATGCTTCGAAACTATACATAAGCACGGGAAACGATTGTTTTCAGAATCGCGCTGCTTGTATGCGTAATTGCCTCGCTGTTGAATATCCTATATATGCTGGTACCGAAGGCAGAAAGGTGCATCTTCCTACATCGTATTAACAAATAACCAACGCTGAATTAGGAATGAGCTCTAGCGTCGTTTAGCCAGAAAGCGTTTCAATGAAAAGATTTGCATTACATCGATTTATGGGCTACACATCTTGCTGATTTTTAGCTTTCTTATAAATGGTTAAAGCAAACTGTAGCCGTAAAGTGCGCATATTTCTTGACGCTCAAGATGAACAATGAATAACCACTTAATATACGGTTTAACTCAAATCTCTCATCATAAAGAAATTACCTTAGAACAGAACGTAGTATGTCGACCCTGCGCGGTTTCACTGTTCACATGAGCGGTTAAACGCTAAGGAGAAATCCATGCAATAACTCATTCTTGTACGTGAAACCTCGGATTTTTAATTGTCAGTGATTCTCAATTTCGATTTGTGGACAGCATAGTTAAAGCAGCTGATTCACTTCTGCCTTTCTGCCATCTTCCCTTTTACTGTCACCCAAATGGTATTCGAATTTCTGTTATGCAAGAGCTATCGACGATGAGAAAGAAAACATTTCTTAAACCTGTGTGGTATGCAAATCGATGCTTAAGAGATATGAATATTAGCTAAAAGAGACTATATCATTTATTATACCAATGCCTTACAAAAGAGTTGAACAAGCACCATGATGAACATTTTCCCAGTATAAACTTAGTCATTCCTGCCTTGGTTGGCATCATTAATTACAAATCATGAAGGCGTAAACAGCTTACAGATGCTACAAATAGTTGCTTAATCAGCCTACTGCTTAACACGTTCTGATGTTTCGTTTCTTCTGCTGAAGGACATGGTTATGTTCAATATATTCCAGCAAAAAAATACATTTTTTGTAATTCTATACGAGTTCGCCATCATCATGTCCATTCATGTCGCAATCCCACTGAATATCAGTTGCATTTCTCATGTTACGTATGCCACAAACTGAAACGATAAGCGGTCATCGAAGCTGGCTAATTGAATGAATGAATGAATGAATGAATGAATGGCGTATGCCAGTGAGTCATGTTGACTTAGAAGGCCTCTTTCTCAGTCTTTCGAAAAGCATCACCACATCATTAACAGTTGGGCTTCTCACCTGCTACCAGCCTGGGCAGTGCGATATGAATGCTGACAGACCTGCTGGAAACGTCATGCACTATGCAGACGCACTGGTGGCCGGCAACTATAAACAGTCAATGTATCGACTGAAGCATAAGCACTAGAAAACAGAAGAAATAAAGTCGTACTTTCTACAATCTCAGTCTCTTTGCATTCCTGCTGAAGCACGTCGTTCAAAGTCGATAAAGCTTTGGAAAAACAACGCAACGCCACCAAATGCTAAAAATATTAACATTCAAACTCCACGCGTTTGAATAACTGAACGTACATTGGTCGAACACCACTGTTGAAAGAGGGCCAGAATCGGATTCAAGCGTAATTGTATAGTGAACGCGGTTTCCCATTCGGGAGTGAATTCTTGATGGGCGCCAACCTGACGCACCACCGGATCCATGCCCTGGACACAACATACTACGTCCAATAAACTGCGAAGAGCAACCAAAATGCAATTTTCCAAATGATTATCCCATTCTTCCGGCGATGGAACACTAGTCAACAGATACCTGCAAAAGAGTGCGAAATATGTAAGCAATAGACATAAGTATTTGATGATGTCGAATGCGTTCATAATCGAGATTTTTAAAATGAGTCTGCAAATTTTCGTTCAGTATTTCAATAACTGTTCAAAATTGCTGCCTGATGCATTCACTCTTAAAGTCAAAACGTTTGTCAAAAAAGGAGCAAGCCGTACTGGCCCTGCTAAAAGTGATGTCCTATGGGTGGTCATGGTGTGACTATGTCGCACCGAATATGGAAGGAATGTTAGGCTCAACTCAGTTGTAAGACTCCCCGCCGTAACCTCAGGTGACAGACGTCATCGTTCAGTGATGCCAGTTCGCATGGTAGCATTTTGGGATGTTCGACAGCATGAAACGACTATGATTGGACGCCGTGCATCAGCGCCAACGGAAGTGCGCAGTATGGATATGAAAAGCTCCATCAAGTCATCGTCGCTTAATACGACAATTACCAGCTTGTCAACTACCGTTATGGTCTAAGGCATTGCAGATCCAGGCAGCAAAAGGCGAATAAAGAACTGGTGGTAAAGGCGGCTTGGCTCTAGCGTTCGGAGAATAGGTATATAACAGCCAGTCCGTCGCTCATGAGAACATAAGTTCTGATGATATATAGTTTGTCGTGTGCGCGTTTGTTAATGGTCAATGGCTAATAAAGTTGTACGATTGGGCAGCGGAGCGACTCTTCTAAAAAGTGTAGTCAAATATCCAAGCGGATGACTGGATGAACCATAGTCACAGCAGACCCCCTGGGCGAGCTGCTACACAGACATTCCGGGTTACAACGCAAGTCTATCATGACAACATATTGAAGGAGGAGCGGTTTGAGATATAAGGTCGATCAATTTATTTATAGGTCGAAATCACAGATAGTTAAGGCCAATTAAGGTGTGCTTGGAATTGTCAAGCTTCCGCCCAGTTGAATCACTGAGCAGATGCGAGCATGTCGGGATTTGAAAAAAGGTCTTCTATCTGTTATGTCCAGTGCTCAAAGAGTGAGCTGTTCTGAGAGCATAATGTTGAAAATCTAACGATGCAACACACATCACCTACTGCAGATGTTGTGCAATCCGAAATGGTACAACCCTATTCAAGAACCATGGTGAAAACAAGCATAACGTCAAACGAGGACATGAACTCTACTCAGACTGGATAAGACCTGTTGCCAAATATCTACTCAACCATCAACACTGACCACAAGCTCGCTTTTTAACTCAAAACATTATAACAGCTGCGGATAACACAACAGAAGCGTCAATTCTCCATGAACTTCATACAGAGGATGTCAGAAATGGCCCCATCATAAAAGTATAAGGAATAACTAGATTCTATTGGTCATAAAATTTCCTTTTACTTTTTAAAATTCATAACGAAGTTCACGACGAATACTGTGGCAAGCACAGAGAATACTGCCTGTCAGACTGCGATTCCTTTCCGAAGTCGTTATTCCCTTTTAGTGAGATGATTACAGATTGGGTTTTTAACAGCAGTAATTAGTAGCATGCAATATAAATCTTAAAAAGTTAGAGCCGTTAGACTGACTAATTTTCGTAGCTCTGTAGGCCAAACTTTAAGTGGCAGTAAGCTCAGTAGATGAGCAGTTTGTTTTTTTGTTTTGCACTGTAGAAGTGCAGGGCTTAAATCCAAGCGCGGCATAAATTCTGATCAACTGCTAATTCCCTCAGGCGAAGAATTTACCCAATATGCTACGCCGATACCAGTGGAGAAAGTTGCAGAAAATCGATGGCCTGCCAATAATAGATATCATGAATCTTTAGTGTGGATAAACAAGAGTTTGAAACTTACATCAGCATATCGGATGCGCATTCTTTATAATCGCGATTTGTCTCAAACCATCTGACAGCTGAATAAAATCCAACACAAGGTTTAAACTGTCAATTTATGCAAAATTTATTGCAAATTTAAATGCAGCTGATGCGTATATTTAAAGGCTGCAATTCGTTTTGATCGACCTGGCAGCAGAATCGATTAATACAGAATGTGACGTAAAACTTAAAAAAAACTATTACAATAATAACAAAAAGCTATTATCATCAGCGGATCAGGAGCGAATAAGGAGTGCAACGAGGATTACGCACCTGAAGTCGTTCAGCACGTGAAGAGATCTTCTGAACTTGATCGGACTTCGCGCAAGCAGCTGCTGAAATGTAAGGTAACCAGCCTCTGTAAACCAGGACGATTTTCAGATATCAAACATTAGATAAGAATATTAAGCAGACCTGAACGAAAGTCTTCGGCAACCTCCATAAAAGGCTTAATGACGACTTCGAAAGCGTTCTGTTCCTTGATGAGAACTCGAACCTTAAGCAAAAAGTTGCATAATCTTTTCCTCATGCGTCGGCTAAAGAACTTTTTAGAACCGCAACAGAATGGTAAACGGAGAAGAAAGTTCACAAACTTCGGAATGTCGATCCTTTGCATATCCTGAGTTTTACTACCCTTTTATCGTCGAGCATAGTGTGCAGCGAGTTTATCCATTCTGGTGTTATCTGTTAGGACTGTCGCAATTTTTAAAGTATGACCTACAGTAAGATTATCAGTACAACCTATAGTCGCCTATTCCTTTTTCTCAGGTATAATGATGCTCAATTATCTGTCTCCAAAGACGAGTGACTTCGACGTGTCTGAACTGGAGTCTGACGCATCGGTATAAAGCCTATCCCTAACCCAAACTAGTTAATCCTGACTATTTTTGTCCGTTTCAATAAACTGATAAAATGCTCTCGAAAATGCTTCTTGATCATGCGCAGCGCTGAGTATACATGACTACGCCGAACCAATCAATGTTTAGCAATGAACAACTACTGTGTATGAAACATTGTTTCGAACTAGTGCAGATCTATATTTTGCGTGAACCAGAAGATCAAATTTTAAGATATCGGAAGACATGCAGAAAGAATAAGAACGAAGGAAAAACTATAATCACCTTTTGTTTATGTTGTCATATCCTGCAGAGAAACAGTGGGATGTTGCGAAGTAGCATATAGCTCAATGGAGACGGAGATTTTATCAGACTTAAACTTGCGAAGGCTAGGCTACTGCAGGGGGTGAGGCACAAAAGTGATAGGATATTGAAGGGAGACACATACAACATGAAAATATTAAAACATACTTACGAGTGAAGGGACGGTGAAAATCTGCACCGACAGAGAAACCACAGAAACATCGTGGTCATGGTCATCTTGGATATAGTCCATCATCAATTTGGCGTACATCTACAGAAGAGAAACACGTACCGACATTTTAGCGGCTGGTTACAGTCACACTTTCTTCGAACTCATCATAACATGCTTCGTAAAAAAACACAGTGTGAGCAGAATTAAAACTAAACCGTTCTACTCATTATGTCACTGTCTACTTGTTTTCGGATACCTGGATTGGAGGGCATATTTAATCATGTAAAAAGTCAATCTGTGTACCTGTCCGAGTACCTACATTGCCTCTCGTACTATTCTGCTCACTAAAGAAAAGTCCGTCTCATGTATGCCTCACCAGCAACATAGAAAATGGGTTAGTACATGCAAGTGCATATGTAAAACGGTCATAAATTCTAAAGCCATACTTCCACATAATATCATCCGTATTTTCAATACACGACAATCATACATAAACTCTAAACGTTTTCAAAACGAATCGTTTTAGAATTTCATATTATGTTACTTTATTATCTGCCTTCACGCTGACACTATTCCTCTCTTGCTCGTCTCCGTATAACAAGGCTGTTGAAAAAATTATCGGCTCAAACGTACAGTCAACAGAAATCTCGAAACATAGTGTAATGTGACAAATAACAAAATACAATTTAGATTTCAATGTTTCTCTGAACAGTGTCAGGGGGTACATTCAATATTACTTAAACAATGGTAGTTTCGTAGGTAAAATAAGATCGAATACACAAAAACAAATCGCAAAATAATAAAATATTACAAAGATTATTTGTGTAAAGTTACTGTGCTTTCGATAATTTTACCAAAGAAACTAACAACAGTAACGTTTTACAAAGCCCCGGATCGCAAGTTGCTTGGAAAAGATTTAGTGCTAAGCTGTCAACTCCCATCTAAGCTAAAAGTACCACACATTTCCATAAGCTTTCAAGATCACACAGAGTTTATAAGAATTGGCGGGGGATACCGAAAGTGGCAAGTGCTAAATAACTACGACTGCTTTAGTGTCTAGATTTCTGTTTAGCCATTTACTGATGTTTGATGATATAGGTACCTAAAAGTCGCGTGTCTGACAAATGTGAAGCCTGAAAATCCAAGAAAAATTTGCCATGGAGAATCTTTTAGACTATATGCTCGGGAAGAACCATTTGGGATCGACCGTTGTATTTGTCCCAAGGAGCATCATGGAAAAATTCCCTTTGTTATTTAACACAATTTCACTCACAGGTATACGTTGCCACTTCCTTGCTTTTAGAGATCAATGGAAAAGTCTAAACAAGTCGCGGGCCCTTTAGATACAAAACAGACAAAAGGATTAAAAAGTTCTAAGTTGTATTGACCTGCTGGGACTACATTAATAAGAATAATTCCCAAAATCAGGTTACAGTTACATTGCACTTTTAATTTCGCAGATTGAAGAAGTCTTTGAGGAAAAACATGAGATTTCAGTAGTTGCGGTATCTAGGCGCCAATCGCATCATTTCATTGGCTAAAACGATACATTTTTTATAAACTAGTACTTCTTCAGCGGAAACCAAGCGAGACGCATTTAGACACCGCAGGGTTAAATTTAAAAAAATCCACTGATTGCCTATATAGCCTGCAATGCTTTATGGCATAGTAGTAGGGAAGGCATAATAGAAAAGCGCCGTCACACGCGATTACTTGAACAGGTAGTAATATCAGCTGACAGCTGGATATTCCGACAAGACTCGATAGTTTAATGATGGCTTCATTACATGTCACATTCAAAATTACATGTCCGAATCCATAAAGCGAGCATGTGTTCGCTATTTACTATTAATTGTTTGGGTCAGAAATTCATTGTATT